CCCTACTGGAATCTTAACCCTCACCACAGAACGGTGTGGTGGCAAAGTGTAAAATGCCCACTTCTCATGTATAAGTCTGATAAAGCTATCTCCTCTCTGCCACCCCAGTGGGGCGAGGATGACTAGTCAGTGTCTCTGACCCAAGTGCCAACTCTGCATTGATGGCATGAAAACTTAGCAACATTACTGGAAGCAGAAAGGACCAAAACAGTATTTTAATGTCTATTTATATATGCTTTCCATAGCATTATTATGAGCTGTTGTCTGCATTAGAATTATAACAATGTGTGCATTTGTAATAGGTGATGTTAACCCTCTTCAGGGTATCAGTAGGCACTTTGCCCTTTGAGGCCTTCCCAAGGGTGGAGTTCTACACCCTGTGACCACCCAAATAGCCTATCTTCTTGTACTTGGTCAACCTGATGTCCCAGTTTGAGTCGGTAATGATTTTGGGGGTGGGGGAACAGATAAGTGGATGTATTCCAGATATAAGGTGCTGCATCACAGCCATAGGTTGCGTTCAGTGGCTGGCTCCCATGGGTCAGTCCACATCTCCATGCCTTGCTAAGTTATAAACCATGCATGGTGCTTGTGGCTTCACATCTGTGCCAAAACAAATGGCTGCTACCAGTGGCCAGAGGCAAGGTAGGGGGAGGGGTTCATAAGCCTTAAAGCCATGTTGCCATTATATGGGTTCTTCCCATAGGAGCTTGGTGCTAAACTCTCTATTCAGAGAGCAACTGGCACCCCTAATCTGAGTGGGGATGAAATGGGCTCCCTATCATCATCTCTGCTCCTATTGTGATGTCAGGACTCTACCTCTGGGTTCATCTACCTTTCAAATTCAGGGGTGATCATCTAATGTCAGTCTTGTAAGTGTTTAAACCACAATCAACTCTAGGGACACAGATGCCTCTAAAGAAACAAGTGGCCTGCTGAAATCCTGAACAATCCTGTGACTTGGCACATACTGCTTGCTGGCTTTCGCATCCACTGTGGCCCTCTTCTTCCCACTCCTAGCTGCTGTTTGAACCATGTAACTCCTGCTCTGGCTTCTTCCATGTGACAATAGGTCAAGAATTTTTCAGTCTCCTTTATCGGGTGTCGTGGCTTTGAAAACATCTCACTCTGAAATTTTGTTAACAGTTTTGGGTTTGTTTTTTTATTTTTTGTAAGTGCCATTTGTATAACTTAAATAGCTTCAAGTGGAGAAAGACCAATAAAAACCTGCATTTGGAAATGAGGAAACTGGTGTGTGATTCGTTCATGTGCCTGCAATTCTATGGTAGTTTCTCTGCAACATGCTGTTGGGCTGGGCTCTGGTAGCTGGAGTAGCCACTATTCAGGCAGAGGGAGAGGTTGGCACAAGGAAAAAGCAGGATTCAGGGAACTTGGTGGTGGTACAAGCTAGTCAACACATCCCATGTGCTGCTGGAGGGTGAAAATCTATAGCAGAACTTACTAAAACTTAACTAGCAGGTCTCCAAAAGCTGAACAGAAGTGAGACCTGCTCAGACCCACTCTTGGCTATGAAGGACCTTCAAGCCCAGAAAGACTCCGAGCTAGATTTTACTTGTGTGTTATCCCAGTAGCTGCCTAGACTAGACCCCACTGTATCCTTGTGCTTGGTCTCAAGAAGGCTGGACACCCAATTTTTGGATTTGGGAGTCCAGAAGTTACTTTCAAGCACTGTTAAGCTAATAGAGGGGGGAAATATAGCCTTGGTTTAGTCCTACTCCCTGTGCAAGCTGATTAGGGGCTGGAGAGGAGTAGGAAGGCCACTATAAGTCACCCAAAGGGAAATGCTCCTCCTACTGTTGACACTAGACAAGCTGCCTGTCAAGTCAAACATAGGGCAGAGCTTAAAGGGGAGTAGTGTCAACTCAGCCACATGTAAGCATCAGGAATGCCACTATTCTACCCAGCATGGACAGGGGTGCCTGCCAACTCCCATCCCTGCAGCTATGCTTCCTGCCCTTAATGCCTAATGGGGGGAGAGAGATGCTCTAACATCACTAGCTGGAGGCCAGCATCCATCCATAATGAAGAACCACATCCTCACCCCACATGAATTGCTGGTTCCGGCAGCTCTGCAAAGGGGATTAAAGGAAGCTTCTGAAACTTGGCTCCTGTCCAGTGAGCTCCTGGCCCTGCAGTTATGAATGAGTTATCTGCTCATGAGGCACTGTCCGCTAAGGAGGTGAGCGCACACCCAGCTTTTTCCAGCTGGGAGCAGGGGACAGAACGCTCCTGTTAAAGGTTTATGGTTCTTCAGTAGCTTGAGGGGGGAGAGGCTTGATTCAGCTCTACTCCATTCAAGCCCTGATCTCCCTTTGCAGGGGAGAGAAGGGAGCAGGTCATCTCAAAGTAAAGAGCTTCCTTGGCAGGGCCTTAACAAGTGGTCCTGGGGGGGAAGCTTTCCTACCAGAGGCCCATCTCTACCTACTATTGCAAAGTTCAGTTGTTTGTGGTACTCCTCTTTGACAGTGCACTGGCTCCCCCTTAAGCTGGGGACCCTGCTGCTTCCTGGGACTGCATTTCTTTGACACCAGGTCAAGTGAAGAACCAAGACTACAGTAAGAGCAGGTGTCAGGGAAGAGTGAAACAGGTGGGGTTTCATTCCATGCTCTAAGCATGCAGTAGCCTGTCTGCTGGCAGCCTGGATGGACTAATCCCTTGTTAGAGCAGGTGCTGTTCACCTCTGCAAAGCTCCACTCAAATGAGGGCCTGAGTTCAAAACACCTTCCTGGCCTGCCCATGCCTGGTTAGATCATAGAGCCAGATAAACTAGGCAGGACTGGAGTGAGTACCCCCATGCTGTGGCACAGCCCCTCACTTGTGTGCCTGGTGCTATTAGTCCTTTGTCAGCACTCACAGCCCTCAGGGGAAAAGCCTCAACTCCAATGGCTTTTTAACTTGTGTACGTACACGCCCCTTCATCTCCCCCCACCCATCTGCAGCCTTTGACGTCCTCTCACTCCTCCTGCCACTAAGATACAGGCAACTCACAGCAGAGACTTGGGTTTATCCTAAGCAGCAGTTACCTTACTCGAGTGACTGGCTCCTACCAGAAGCTGTCAGTCATTCATGCCTGGGTTGCCCCATGCAGCCACCAAGCTGGCCCTGCTCAGGGGAGAGTTTGACACAAAAGGATCCTGGTCCAGCCCCAGAGACCCCACCCACCCAGGGATGAGGGAGAGGGGTGAGGCTGTGCTCAGCCCAGTATTTCCCTGTTCCTTCGAGCTTCAGCGAGAAGCTCCAGGAGGCCAGTGGGAGGATACTGGTGCACAGCTCCCCGGGCAGACAAAGCAGCAGGTCAGGAGAGGCAGACTCAGAGTGGCTGACGGTTAAAGGGTTTGGCAATAGCTTTTTAAAACAACACTAGGGAACACCTGTTCCGCTGCTTGGGACTGAAGTTGCAGAGAGAAAATCCTGAGACAGTAGTGCCAGCAGGTAGGTATAGGCACCTGCCAATAGTAACGGGGGGGGAATCAGGACCTGAAACTCATGTTCTCCCCCTGAGGTACCCCTGAAGCAGCTTTCCCCCTCCCCATGCACCTGGGAACAAGAGGACTTTGCACCAAGGGGAGTGGGATATACACCAAGTGGGAATGAGCACGTGTGAACTGGTTGGATAGTTTCTCAGCTTAAATGCCTCAGCTGGGGAGGC